CCAATAGAAGGCTCACATTATAGAACAATATCATTGATATCACATGCAAGTAAAATTTTGCTGAAGATCATTCAACAACAGTTGCAGCAGTACCTTGACAGGGAGCTGCCAGAAGTTCAGGATGGATTCAGAAGAAAACATGGAATAAAGAATAGAATTGCTGATGTCAGATGCATCTTGGCTCAAAGCAGAGGATACAAGAAAGATGTTTACTTGTAATGTATTGACTATGCCAAGTCATTTGACTATGTGGATCATAATAAACTATAGATAACCTGGAGAGGAATGAGAATCCCAAAACACTTCATTAGGGTACGTGTACATGAATAAAGAGGCAGTTGTGCTAGCAGACCAAGGGAATAGTGCATGGGTTAAAATCTGGAAAGGTGTGCAACAGGGTGTATCCTCTCCCCATACTTATTCAATCTGTATACTTAGTAAATCACCAGAGAATCTGGGTTATATAAAGAAAAATATGGCATCAGGATTGAAGGAAAGATTACTAACAAGCTACGATATTCAGATGACACAACCTTGTTTGCTGAAAGTGAGGAGGACTTGAAGCACTAGAGGTTAGAGATCAAGGATTGCAGCCTTCAGTATAGATTACAATTCAATGAAAAGAAGATAAAAATACTCCCAGGAAGCCAATAGGTAACATCATGATAAATGAATACAAGACTGAAGTTGTCAAGGATTTTGTCTTGCTTTGAATCCACAATCAAGGCACATGGAAGCAGCAGTCAAGGAATCGAAAGGTGAGTTGCATTAGGTAAATCTGCTGCATAAGACCTCTGTAGAATACGGAAAAGCAGGGACATTACTTTGAGGACTAAGGTGAGACTGACCCAAGCCATGGTACTTTCTGTTACCTCCTATGCGTGTGAAACTTGAACATTGACTAAAGAAGACCGAAGAAGAGTCTATACATTTGAATTTTGGTGCTGGAGAAGAATACTGAAAGTACCATGGACTTCTAGAAGGACAACCGCTCTGTCTCAGAAGTATGGCCAGAGTGCTCCTGAGAGGCAAGGAAGGTAAGATTTCATCTCAAGCACTTTGGACATGTTGTTGGGAGAGATCAGTCCCCGGAGAAGGCTGTCATGTTTGGCAAAGCAGAGGGGCAGCTAACAAGAGGAAGGCCCTCAGTTTATAATGACACCATGGCTGCAGTGATGGGCTCTGGCAGAGGTACCATTGTGAGGTTGCTGCAGGACCATGCAGCATATTGTTTTGTTGTGTATAAGGTCCCTCTGGGTTGGAACTGACTTAATGGTACCTAACAAGAGCAACAACCACATATGGAAATTTGCTACAACATTCTTAGATGTAGGCTTAAATGTAGAGGTAATGGTGCTATAAAACCAATGCCACAGTGTTGTTGGTCAATGCAGTTGAGTCAGCCTGGCTCAGCCACCCTCTCTACAACAGAACCAAATACTGCTCAATCCGGCACCATCCTCAGAATTGTCATGTTTTAGTACATTGTTCCAGCCACTGTGGAAATCCATATCGACAAGCGTCTTCCTCTTTTCCCTCTACTATCCTAAGCATGTGGTCCCACACCAGGGTCCAATCTCTCCTGATAACGTGTCCAAAGAACGCGAGACAAAGTCTCCTTGCCTCTAAGGAGGATTGCAGTGCTAAGGGGTATTCTTGAACTTCTTTGAAGACAGGTTTATCTGTTCTCGGGCAGTCCACAGTACTTTCAATATCCCGTGGCATCACCAGGATTCAAATGCTTGAGTTCTTCTGAGGTCTTCTTTATTCTTTGTACAAATCCACATGTATGTGAGGCCATAGGAGCCCTGGTGGTGCGGTGGTTACGAGCTGGGCTGCTAACGGAAACGTCAGCTGTGTGAAACCACCAGCAGCCACTTGGGGGAAGAGCGCGCCGTTCTCCTCCCATACAGAGCT